TGCTGCTCGACACAGCCGGCTCTGTGCTGGCCACGGCCACCAACTGGGACGAGATTGAAATCCAGGAGGAGACCGAGTCTGGGAGCAGTGTGACCTCCAAGATCCGGCTGCCTGTGCAGGTACGGGGAGCAGCCTGTGGGAGGAGCCCAGCACTGGCTCCAGAACCCCTGGCTGAGCTGCTGGGGAGGGTGTTTGGGGTCACCAGCAGGGGACAAACACTCTGTGGTGCTCTTTGAGACACTCACCTCATGAGGACAGAGGTCAGAGGAAGGAAATGGGTCATTGTTGCTGTTTATCTCTGTGAGGAAGGTTGGCCCAGATCCTGTAAAACTGAGCCAGAGGAGGACTTAGGCCTGGTTTAAACACAGAGGTCCCAGGAGAGAGGTTCCATGGGAGTTGGATGCATTGAAGGACAGGGCTGCAGCAGTGGGACTGTGGAATCCTGAAGGAACTGAGGCGTGTGGCTTCCCAAGGGTGTGGTGGTGGCACAGGAAGGACCTCACAGGGACAGAGCAGGTGACAGGGGGAGGAGGGCCAGGCCTGGAGTGAGCTCTGTGTTTGCACAGCACGGGAGGGGCTGGACAGGGAAATGCAGTGAGCCTTATCCAGTGAATTCTGTTATGTGAGGGGAAAAGCAGCTGGGTGAGAATGCAGGAGGCCCAGGAGGTGAGGGAGGAACAGCCCCAGGGCGTGGGTGGGCAGAGCAGGGTCTGTGCTGACACAAGATTAACAGGGAATGCTTTTCTCACTGCACCCAGTGTCTGCTAAAATCTTCTGGGGGCTTTGGGAGCTGCTGTAACCCAAAATCTGAGGTGTCAGTAGCTCAGACCCCGTGAGATGGCCAAGCCAAGCTGTGGGGCAGAGCTTTGTGGCTGCTATGGAAGTGGGGCACTCCCAGCAGGCAGCTGAAGGGATGTGGAGGGGAATGGAGTTTACAGAGCAGCTGCAAATAAACTCTGTTCTGCTGCCCAGCCCTCGTGGCACGTGCAGTGCCTGCTGTTCAGCCTGTGCCAGGAGGTGAACAGGGTTGGTGGGCACACCCTGCCCAAGGTGACCCTGCAGGAGCTGCTCAGGAGCTGCATGGCAGAGGTGCTGGCTGCCTATGGGAAGCTGGTGGAGCAGAAGCAGGAGAAGGTACCTGGGTGTGGGATGGGAGGGAGAAGGTGGCTGGGAATGGAGGGACACATCCAGCTCCTGGAACAGAAAAACAGCATGACAATGCCTTTCCTGACAGCTGGAAAGGGAACACCCTTATACTCACCCTGCCTCCCCCTCAGCTGAGGCAGACACCAGATTTCACACTCTGGTTGTGCCTTGGTGTTGTGAATGTTGGCCCTTGGGCAGCCTGCCCTGTGCCAGGGAGGAGCCCCATTCCTGCCTGTCCTGTTTGCAGAGGCCAGACAGCTTCCCCCTGACCCAGAGCAGAGCCCTGCAGTTACTCTATGACCTGAGGTACCTCAGCATCATCCTGACAGCCAAGAGTGAGGACACAAAACCCAGCAGGATCAAGCAGGACTCCGGGTATGGCACATTCTGGGGCTCACATCCTCCAGCAGGGCTTTGGGGGGCCCTGAACCAGTGCAAGCTCCAAACTCTGGCACTGCACAAACACTGAGCTCATCCTCAAACCAGAGGAGGGCTGGGGGTCTGGGGCTGGTTCCCCTCCTTGTGTCCATAGGATACCCTCAGAGGGTGCCCCTGGACTGAGCAGTTGAGCTTCCAGCCAAGAGTTAAAGCCCTTGGGGGGTACCATGGGCAGCAGTTCCTGCTGCTGGGGTTGTGTAAGAGCTGGAAAGCCTTGGGGCAGCTGCTCTTGTGCTGAGTAATTCCTGTTGTGCTCAGTCACCCCAGACAGGAAATCCCTGGCTGCTTCAGAGCTGGCATCACCAGGATGTCACCCCTGACAGGAGCTCTCTGCTCTGCCTGCAGGATTGAGAAGGTCATTGACTTCCTGGAGGGACACATCGACCCCTTTGACCTGGATGTCTTCACCCCACACCTGAACAGCAACCTGAACCGCCTGGTGCAGAGAACCTCGGTAGGGAGCAGGGCTGGAGCAGCAGGGACCCTCACAAGGCCTTCAGCAGGGCAGCTGGGTTGCTCTTGAATGCTCAGTGCCTCCAGATAAGCACTGGCACTGCCTGGAAAGGGGAAGAGTGCTCGGTGCCAGCTGAAGATAAGAGGAGCTGGCTGAGCCGGCTGCACGGCCCCGCTCTGGGGCTGCCTGAGCTTTATCTAACAGGATTCACTGGAGCCTGTGCAACACTAATTGGGTTAAGTAGTGCTGAAACAGGTCTGGGACTCAGCTGTGGGAATGATGAAACACCAGAGTTAAGAGGAGGGAGAGAGAGGCACTTCCTGTTCACACTCAGTGCTGATGGTGTGCCAGTGGATTTACCACATTCTGTGGGGTCAGCTCTGCAGGAACCCCGGATCCAAACAGCTCCTGGTGCCTTCCAGCTCCTCTTCCCCAAATCCTGGTCCTCTTCCCCAAATCCTGGTCCTCTTCCCCAAATCCTGGTGCCTTTCAGCTCCTCTTCCCCAAATCCTGGTGCCTTTCACCTTCTCTTCCCCAAATCCTGATGCCTTTAAGCTTCTCTTCCCCAAATCCTGGTGCCTTTAAGCTTCTCTTCCCCAAATCCTGGTGCCTTTAAGCTTCTCTTCCCCAAATCCTGGTGCCTTCCAGCTCCTCTTCCCCAAATCCTGGTGCCTTCCAGCTCCTCTTCCCCAAATCCTGGTGCCTTCCAGCTCCTCTTCCCCAAATCCTGGTGCTTCCCAGCTTCTCCTTCCCAAATCCAAGTCTCTCCTGTGCCTTGCAGGTTCTCTTTGGGCTGCTGACTGGGACAGAGAACCAGTACACGAGCAGAGGCGGCGCTCTGAGCTCGCAGGAGCTCCACAACATCCTGCCCTTAGCATCCAGCCAGATCAGGTGAGGCACCCAGCTCTTCCAGGCATCCTCCTGCCTCTGGGAAGCTGCTGTGGAATTGCTGCTTCCCACCTTTCTTTCTTCCATCTCTTAAGGTTTGGACTCCTGCCACTGAGCATGTCGAGCTCACGGAAGAGCAAGTCCACTGCCAGGAGCACAGAAAGAGTCCAGGTTGGTGTTTGAACTGAGCTGTAAAAACAGGAATATTTTCCCACTATTCATTGTCCCCCTGACACTGGAGTTTATGGGCAAAGAAGAAAGTAGCCAAACATGATTTCACCTGATTTTTATTTTCAGTAAAAGGAATCATTACCGCAGCACAGCAGGGGATGGGGTGGATTCCTGCAGGAGCCTCCAAAACCCCACCCACCCTTTGCCCCTGTGGTTTTGGGGCCACTGCTCTGTGGCAGGCAAAAACCACTGCAGAGGCAGTGAGGGCTGACATGGATGAGGGCAATGCATCAAAGCTCATGAAAGAGGGCTGCAGGAAAGGCTGCAGGACAGCAGCTAATGCTTGAACTCCTTTGCAGTGGGATGCTGCCCTGTAACCCCGAGGAGGCCTGGCCAGGTACCCCAGCTGTGTGAGGAGTGTCCTGCTGCTGCTCCCCTGGTGCTCAGCTGTAGCAGCCAATCTTTCTGTTGCTCCATTTCCCCCAGTTTAAAACATCTGCTTAGATGGAGCTCTGTGTGCTGGGTGAGAGCCAAGGAACACCTCACTGCTGTGGGAAGCAGCAATTAATGTTTCCTTTACTTATTACCAGCCCAATCTGTCCCTGGTGGTCTTGGCAACTGGGACAAGTTGTTGAGTTGGCAAGAGCCAAGACCAAGAGGTCAAGGCCTGGTTTTCCCAGTGTCATTTGAGATGATGTTCGATTTGCAACTCTGCTTCTCCAGTTCTCGCAGCCCTTAAGGACCAGACCCAGCAGAAGGGGTGTTTAAAAGCCCAAAACTTCCCAGCAAAGGTATTCCTTACCTCTCACAGCTCAGCTGGATTAGAGCATAGAAGTGTGCAGTGATGTCTGGCTCGTTGTGTCACTCCCCTCAGCTCTGTGCTGTGCTCAGCACACCCGTGTCCTGTGCTAGCCACACTTGCCAGGATCCCTGACAGATGCTTGCTCCTCCTTCAATGCTAAAACTCTTCTGGAGAGGTTAAAATCTGAAGTTCTCCAAGAACAGCTCTTGCAAGAGCACCAGCTGTGCTTCTACCACGCTGTGATCCCTTGCTCAGAGGGTTTTGCTGAGTGTTCCTTGGGGTTTACGAGCATTGAGTGCCTGTTGCTCCCAGCAGTGCGGTGTGTGTCTGTCACTCCCCCAGCAGTGACACCGCTCTGGCTGTGTGCCCTGTGCTGCTGAGGGCACAGAGGGAGCCCCGGGGGTGCTATGGGAGTCAGAGTCACTTTTGTGTTCCCACAGGGCCAGGCTGCAGCTGCTGTGCTGCCCAGGGAGGACGAGGCTCGGCCGGGCGCGCTCTTCCGGCAGCTCCTCACCGACGACGAGGACGCGGCGGCCCCGTCCCTCTTCAAGCTGGGCTGGCTCTCGGGCGTGACCAAGTGAGGCAGCAACCAATAAACTGCTCTGGCTGTTTGTCTTCACTGAGATCTGTCTGTCTGTCTGTCCCCTCGGTGACACCTCCCATCCTCAGAGCAGGGCGTGGCACGGGAAGCAGGCACAGCTTGGATTGTCCTTGGCCCCCGGCTGCTGCAACAGAGATGGAGCTGCTCTTTCACCTCCTATCCTCACATTGTTACAGTCAAATTAAAGGGAAAAAAAAAAAAAGCCAAAACAACCTAGACACTAACAGAAAACAAAACATTTCACAGCTGGGAAGGGGTGCTGGAGCAGGGTAAGATGCCTGTGTCCTCCAGGCACCACCACCCTGCTCTGAGAGGCCCCTGCAGCACCTGCCCGACCTGTCCTGCTCTAATTTCACATTTCCCTTGCAGTCCTGCAGCAGTGAAGCTCATGAGAGAAGCCTCATCACCCTGAAGGGGGTAGGAGCTCACAGGCCAAAGCACCTGCACTCACTGCTCCTATTCTCACTAACTCTAAATGCTCAAAAAATTATGTTGCCAAATCATTTTGTAACTAGTTTATTGAAATTAAAAAAAGACTTATAAAACTGAAGAGGAACGCTTAAGAGAACTTTACAGAAAGCAACAACTTGCTAACAAACAGATTAGGCAGTCGATTGGAATTGGACAGTTTGCAATCCTATAACACACATGTGGACTCCTCAGTCTCCTCTTGCCACGTACTTTAGAACCACCCCAAAAAGAATCCTATAAAAATTGCTCCAAAGCCCCTTTTGCATTGCAATAGTGCAGCAAACCACAAGTAAACAATCTCCTGTTAACCTGTTATTTCAAATATAGACTGAAAAGGCAACAGGCAATTTTGTGCAATTCCATTTTAACAAACTTTGAAGTTGAAATATCAAATCTACACAGTGCTGTCCCTTCACAGAAGGCAGGGAGCTGCTGGGTCATCATGTAGGGAGGCGTCCCCGGCTCTGTAGGCTGTGGAAGTGGGCTTCCTTCAGGATCTGGTTGATGTGGAAGTAAGGACCTTGGCTTAGTGCAGACTGCTCGTGGAAGGGCTGGGAGGAGACAGGGCTGGATCCTGCAATCCTGGGGTTGAGGCTGGACTCGGCTCTGTCGGGGCTGTTGATGCTGCTGCTGCTACAGCTGCTGCTGCTGCTGCTGCCACTGTCACTGCTGGAGGACTGGGACACACAGAGGGTGAACAGCAACATCAGACACTTCTTCCTCACCCCACAGAAGCAAAGCTTTAGGATAAATCCCTCCCCCTTCCACATTTCCAGCCCGATGGACTGATGAAATCCCCCTTGGCACAAAGAGGTTGTTGTTGGCCACGCCAGTGTCCCAGAGCTGAAGGGACAAGCCTTCACCCAGGGTTCAGTGACATCCAGGGTGCTGGCTTTCAATCCTCCCCAGTTAAACCCCTCAGCTCTGCCCCCAAGCCCACGTTGGCACTAGTGAAGTTTGCTGGGGTGATCCAAGAATTGGAAAATAAAGAACATTCCCAGGGAGCTGCAGTGTCAGTGCAGGCAGGGCAGGGCTGGCACTTCTGCTCTAGCACAGGTTTGAGGGGAGCACCATGCAAAGCACTTTCCTACAAGGCAGTCCTAAAGTGAGATCTGAAGCATCCAAAGCAAGAGGCTGTGAGAAACAAAAGCACACCAGACCCACTATAAGTCTTTGAACACCCTACCATCAAGTACTCTTCTCCCAGTGAAGCACCCCATGGCAGTGTTAACTGGAACTGTTCCATAGCAATTCCACACCAATTTACTTGACATGACAGTGAAAGGGCAACAGGCACTGAGGAATTGCTCATGCAGGGAAAAGAACTCAGCATTTGACTGGGATAAGAGGCCAGGGCTCATTTGCCAGCATTTAGGACAACCACATTTCATGGGAATGGCTGGAAGAGCATTTGCCATCATCATAAGGGATTCAAAGACATAAAACACCATTTTAAGGGCTGCTAAGGAAAGGTTCCATTAGTTCCAGTTTTAGTTTGTCTGATCTGCTGGTCAGGACCTGCAAATATTTGGGTGAGTCAATCAGCAAGTGGCTACTCTGCCACCCCATAAATGATTCATAAAAGCAGACAGAGCAAGTGACAGCAGCTAAAAAAAAATCAATATTTTTGTAAGGATTAAGCCACAGAAGTCACAGCTTTGTGGCCACATCAGAAGGGGACAAATTTCATTAAATCCTCAGGGATTTACCAGTCAGCACCACTTCCAGAAGGGCTTCACCTGGAGTAAATCAGGAATGGTGCACGCTGCACCCAGCAGTGTGTGTGTGTGTAAATCAGGAATGGTGCAAACTAGGAATGGTACAGACTGCACCCAGCAGTGTGTGTGTGTAAATCAGGAATGGTGCACAGTGCACCCAGCAGTGTGTGTGTGTAAATCAGGAATGGTGCACGGTGCACACTGCACCCAGCAGTGTGTGTGTGTAAATCACACACCCAGCAGTGTCTACAGTAAATCACACACCCAGCAGTGTGTGTGTGTGTAATTCACACACCCAGCAGTGTGTGTGTGTGTGTGTGTGCAGTAAATCACACACCCAGCAGTGTGTGTGTGTGTGTGTGTAAATCACACACCCAGCAGTGTGTGTGTGTGTAATTCACACACCCAGCAGTGTGTGTGTGTGTGTGTGTGTGTAAATCACACACCCAGCAGTGTGTGTGTGTGTAATTCACACACCCAGCAGTGTGTGTGTGTGTGTGTGTGTGCAGTAAATCACACACCCAGCAGTGTGTGTGTGTGTGTGTGTGTGTGTAAATCACACACCCAGCAGTGTGTGTGTGTGTAAATCACACACCCAGCAGTGTGTGTGTGTAAATCACACACCCAGCAGTGTGTGGCAGTGTGTGTGTAAATCACACTCCCAGCAGTGTGTGTGTGTGTGTGTGTCTGTGTGTGTGTGTGTGTGTGTGTGTGTGTGTGTGTGTGTGTGTAAATCACACCCCCAACTGTGTGTGAGTGCCCAGGGAGGCACTGTGGATGTTTGGGTGGAACACAACCCTCCCTCCCCCCTGATCCACCATCGATCCTGACCATCCAACCCTGACAAATTCCTTTGTTTTGCTAAGCACCAAAACCGCTTCAGCTCTGTGGGAGCACAGCAAGCCAAGCCAAGGGCCCCGGGCTGCGAGGGGACAAAAACACCCAGCGGGGTCATTGCCCAGGGAGCACAGCTGGAGCCACGGGGGCAAGCAGCTCCTCTGCCTCCATCTGGAGAGGGAGAGAGCCCGGCAGCACAGGGAGGAGCTGGGGTGGTGCTGGGCAGCGCAGCTGCTGTGGCAGAGCAGCACAAAGAGTCACACGCGATGCTGAGGGGGCCCAGCAGCCTCGGAGACAAACCCACCGCACTGGACACTTTGTTTCCTTTTAGTCTGCGCTCCTTAGTGAGCTTCGTTACAGCCACCTTCTGCAAATCAAGGTAAAAATCCAAATGAGAACCTGGCCTGGCTCCCTGCTCGCGTTTCACATCTCAACAAACGTTTTCCAGCTGTTAGTAGTGAGTGTTGTGTGCATCTCAAAGCTGGCAGCATGTCCTGGGACGTGCTTCTGACACCTCAGCCTGGTGACAGATGGCCTTTGTCAGACCCTCTTTATTTCCAGTTCTCCAAGGCAAAGGTTCACTGGCACTGGCACCCCCTCATCACTGCCCACCTCACATGGAACACCTACCATGTCCCCAGGCTGTGGTGCACATTCTGTAAGGCATTTGGACTACAATCAGACAAGAAAAGAATCCTTAAAGCCAGCAAGTCAGCAAGACAGGCATCAACAAAGCTTTACAGGGCCAAAGGAAAGCAGCCCAGTGATATTTATGAATAGTTTAGCTATCAAAAGGGCATCTTCAAGGTTTACTGGGCTCATTTACCCTTAACATCACACTTCAAGTTTTAAAACAAACAAATGTCCTGTTAAATGTGCAGATCTGGGACAATCCCTCAGGACAGGAACTGGAGAAAGAGCCACTCAAGCCCTGCTGCTCTCAATGCCTTCCAAGAGGAGTTTAACAGAGCCACGACCTGGTTTTAGTCAGAACTGAAGAGCAGCCCTTCCCTGGATAGTGGGGGACAATAACTTTGATTTGATCTGTGCCAAGAACCCAGCAGTGTTTCAATCCTGCCCAGAAAAGAGAGGAGCTGTGAGAAATTCAGGTTTGCAGAAGTTGTTCAGGAAGGAAAGGGTCAGCCAGAACACTCAGACTCATTTCCTTCCCTGGGAAAACCAGAGCAAAGGGTTTGCACTGCTGATTCCCCAGGCTGCAGAGCTCAGCTGGGAACCCCAGCACTGCCCTTGCAGGATCCACTGCAACCCCAGCACTGCCTTTGAGGATCCACTGCAACCCCAGCACTGCCCTTGGAGGATCCACTGCAACCCCAGCATTTCCCTTGCAGGATCCACTGCAACCCCAGCACTGCCTTTGGAGGATCCATTGCAACCTCAGCACTGCCCTTAGAGAATCCATTGCAACCCCAGCATTGCCCTTGCAGGATCCACTGCAACCCCAGCATTGCCCTTGCAGGAACCACTGCAACCCCAGCATTGCCCTTGGAGGATCCACTGCAACCTCAGCATTGCCCTTGCAGGATCCACTGCAACCCCAGCACTGCCCTTGGAGGATCCACTGCAACCCCAGCACTGCCCTTGCAGGATCCACTGCAACCTCAGCATTGCCCTTGGAGGATCCACTGCAACCTCTCCTGGCTTGATCTGGGGACAAGCAAAGGATTTCTGAGCAAATACAGGGCAAACACCACAGCTGAGCTCCTGGAAAAGGGAGGACAGGCTGAACAGGAAGGGAAATTCTGTGGCAAAGGCTCTGCCTTGCTAATGTTTAACCCTGGCTGGAGCTGCAGCCCTGTGGCTGTGCCTGGCCATGGACTGAGCCCAGGACAGAGGTTTCTGTCACCCTCAGGGTGGCTGTCACCTGTGAGTGGCTGCTCCAGGAGCACCAGGAGTGGCACATCCTTACAGCAAGTGCCCAAAAAGCAGCAGCCCAAAAAGCTCCATTCATCAGGAGAAAACATTGGGAATTCTGTTCTGTGCTGCTGGAGATTAAAGAGAATCTGTTTCCATCCTGTCAAAGCTGGAAGTGCTGCCTGTCCTGGGTGAGTGGACAATCCAGAGGGAGAAAACAGCAAATCCTTTGGAATTGGATGTGATTTGGGTGAGCAAAGTCAGGGACTGAGGGGTAACATCACAGAACTGCCCCTAAAGAAAAACCTCCCTGCACCTCATTCTCCACAGCAAAACATGCAAGACAAAACCAATGGGAAGAGATCCTGGCAAAAAACATGGCTTGATTGCCATCAGATTTAAACCACTGCCTGACTGCCATCAGCTTTAAACCACAGCCTGACTGCCATCAGCTTTAAACCACTGCCTGACTGCCAGCAGGTTTAAACCACTGCCTGACTGCCATCAGCTTTAAACCACTGCCTGACTGCCATCAGCTTTAAACCACTGCCTGACTGCCATCCTGAGGCTGTGCTCTCAAAGAGGCCTCTGCAAGAGGGAACAGTCAGTTTGAACCAAAACAGCCCAGGGGAATCAGGACTTTGGGTAATGTCTCACAAAAAGCAGGTTTGCAACGCCCTGCAATGAAAAGCAGCTCTCCTGTGCTCTTGGAAGTCACAGATTGCTCCCACTCCCCCTTTCCAGGCAATATCCCAAATCCAGGGGGGAGTTTTAACCAGCCAGAGGTGTCTTTGCACACAGCAAAGGGTCAGGGAAATAAATGCAAGTGCTGCAAACTGGCTGAGACTTTCCAAGCATCACCAAGTGCACAATGAGCACAAGGATTCCTCCCTTTGGCACAGGAAGTCCTTAACCAAATGTTGGAATAATACAGATTTCATCTCCTGGCTTGACATTCTGGGCATGCTCAGTTGAGGGATCTGACAAGAAAACAAGCCAAAAAAACAAAAAGCAAAAAAACAGCTCCATTCATCAGGAGAAAACATTGGGAATTCTGTTCTGTGCTGTTTGAGAAGCTGTGCCCACATTCCTCAGCAGTGATGTGAGATTCCACATCACATCCCACCAGGGTTTAATGTGTTAAAACCAGACTTTGCCAGGCAAGTGCATGCAAGAAGCAGAGTCTGTGTGAGGCTGAGCTGTGACCTTGCCTGTGCTGTTCCCTGCAGGAACCAGGCCAGGGCTGCTGTCACCCCTCGTGTGTGGCCCCTGCCAGCCCAGTGGCTCTGCCCCAGCACCAGGTGTGCACACTCCAAGCAAAGGTGCTGCTTCTGCCACTCACCATGGGGGGGTTCTCCTGATCTCCTTCATTTCATTAGTCCTACTGCAATCCCTTGTTCCACACTAAATCCGTGCTCCTCCTGCCACAAAGCTGCTTTAGCTTTAACTACCCTACACACACGGAGGGCTCTGACCTGTGGGACAATGATTCAGGGTCAGCTGGCACAAACCAGGCTGCTGAGCCCAGCAAAGCCCAAAATGCAAAGTTTCCCTCCTGAAAACACAGCAGCTTTCACCCCAGGGGATTCCTTTGGGATGGCCAGCAGCTCTTAGGGCATTTCCAGCATTCCTGGCACATCATCTACTTGTCCAGGTTAACAGAGAGTTTCCCTCACAACAGGAATGTAGAAATATCCATTTCCAGATTGTAAAAGAGCTCCAAGTTACACAGCAACTGAATGTTTTCTGCAAAGTACAATTAACAGTTGAATAATTGAGCTGATTCCCTCACAACAGGAATGTAGAAATATCCACCTGAAACCATTTCCAGATTGTAAAAGAGCTCCAAGTTACACAGCAACTAAATGTTTTCTGCAAAGTACAATTAACAGTTGAATAATTGAGTTAATTCTGTAATAATTCAGACTGTAATTGCTCATTCCAATCCACCTTCAAAGAGAGGAGGTTCTAAAAAACTGAAGATATTTCCAAAACATTTAAAGAAATTAATTTCATTAACTTCAGAGAGGGAGCCTGCACTCTGCACCCTTTTTCCATGAATGTTTTACAACACAAGGACGTGGCTCACAGTGAATTTTCAGGTGATTCACCCAGGTGACATCTCAGAAAATCTGGCAGCAGTTGGGAAATCAGCAATTTTTTATTTTTTTTAAAAGAAAAACAATCTCAAATTGCACTGAGAGAACACCTGGCTGGTGAGGGGTAAGACAACAAGAGAGTTTATCCCACACCCAGAAAAAAAAAAAAAAAAAGAGGAAAATATGAGAAAAAACCCAATGAGTTTTGAGATTGTCTTGCTTACACTGAGCAGCTCTATCAGAGCATTTTTTGCACATCAGATAAGGCCTGCCTGGAATGTGTTTTGTCTTTCTCCCACCAATAATCACCTCTCTGTGAGGCAAGGCAGAGCTGATGGTCAGGCAGGGTGAGCACAGGGACACATCCACCCCCAGCATCCCCTCAGCTCTGGGCACAGCTCAGCCCAAACCAAACCCAACAACCTGGAAATTCTTTCCCTGGGTGCTGCAAGGCAGGATTTGAAATTTCTTCCCAGAAATATTCAGGCCAGGCATAACCAGGCTCATCGGAAGTGCTGATTTCCAAACTGATTTCAATCTCTGATGTCACCAATTCAAACCTCAGCACCTCAAACACAAAGCTACAAAACAAAACTGAAAATAAAAGCACAGATATTCCAGCTGCTGCTGGAATGCAGCCTGGGAGGGCTCTCACCTCAGTGTCCCACGAGTCCTGCAGGACAGAGTTCCTGGTGCTACGTTTGCTCTGGGGAACGTGACCATCCTCTTCATTGCCATTCCTCCTCCTCTTCCTGCAGGGGGGGAAAGAAATCATCAGCTCACGGATCCAAAAAGGGCAGGGACACCTGATAAATGAATGCAGGGTGTCCCCAGCCCCCTGAGGTGCTCTGGGCTCTCCCATTCCCCAGAGAAAAGGATCCTGCTCCTCACAAGATGTTTCCCATCAGTTGAAGGGACTGGATTAAAACCATCCCTCGAAATAAACTCATTTAACAACTGCCAGCCCTGCAGATGTAAAAATAATCCCTGGGCTCAGAGTGACACCTGACAGGCTGGGGACAGCCCTGGGACGAGTGGCACTGGCCACATCTCCAATTATTCAGCTGCTCTCACCACCCCACAAGGACTCCTTAGCCTCTCCCCTCTGACGGTGTTTGGAGTCACATTCCAAAACAACCCCATTTCCCAGGTGGAAATGAGGTTTTGTCAGGAAACATCTTGTGGAAAACAAACTCTTCCCTGTCTCTGATGTATCTGCCACCCTCTCATGGCACCTTGCACTGTCTGGCACGGTGGGTGCAGGTTTTAACCCAATTTTTATCCAGATCTTTGCAGGCATCGAGGCAGAGCAGAGTTTGGAGGAGGACAGTGGGGTGGGGGCAGTGCTGATATTCCCAGATTCCAGGAGATAAGGGGAACACCTCAACCACCTGGACTGGACAGGAGCTGGGACAGCCTGGGGCAGTGGGAGGTGGCACTGGATGGGACTGAAGGTCACTCCCAGCCCACGATTGGTGATTCTGTGCCACCAACACAGCAGCTGCTCCCCAGCAGCCTCCCAGAATTCCCACACAAACATCAAACGGCTCCTCCCCACCCTACAAACACGACGAGTCAGCCAGGATCCAAAAAAACACGGGATGGAGCCGTTTTGGTGTGCCTAAAATTAACCCGTGCTCGGATGAGTCAAAACACACTCGAGGGAGGTATTTATAGGTATTTATAAGCGGCTCCTTTCTGTGCAGCAGGCTCTGGCCCACGCCTACAGCCCGGAGCTGCCTCCCTGCTCCCCATCCCTGGGATGGCAGGCACTGAACGCTGTCCGTCTGTCTGGGAACACTCTGGGGAAGGGATTCTCCTCCGGAGCCTCGGGCTCCTTCCTTTGCCCAACCTCTGCAGTGACCTCGGCAGCTCGGACGGGGCTGGGGGCACCCTGGGTGTCCGTGCCCGTGGTAGGGGGGGCACGGGACGGGCTTTGGGGTCCCTTCCACGCCATTCCCCGACTCCACGATCCCCCACAACAACCTCCCAGCTCCCACCCGCTCCAAGATCCCTCAGCTTCCTCCCCACATCCCGTGGTAGGGGTGGCACAGGACGGGCTTTGGGGTCCCTTCTACCCCATTCCCGGCCTCCACGATCCCTCAGCTTCCTCCCTCGCATCCCGTGGTATCCCCAAGGCTTTGGGGTCCCTTCCACCCCATTCCCGACTCCACAATCCCCCTCAGCTCCCACCCGCTCCACGATCCCTCAGCTCCCTCCCCCGCATCCCCTCACCCTCCGGAGCGCCCCCCGCCTCCCCAAGCCCCCATTGAACCCTCCCAGCGCTCGGGGCCCGCACTCCGCTTCCCCTCAGCGCGGCCCCTCCTTGCCCCCCTCAGGCCTCGCCGCCCTCACCCACCTCTGTCTCGCTCCCCGCTCGCTCGGCAGCGGCTGCCGGCAGCTCATGGCGGGCGGGAGCGCGGCGGGGCGGGCGGAGGGGCCGCGCGGAGCGGGGGAGGCCGCGCCGAGGAGCGGAGGCCGCGCTGAGGGGCGGCAGCGCGGCCCTGCCCGGCCCCGACCGCCGCTTCCGCCGCTTCCGCCGCCTCGCCCCCGTGACGTCACGGCGTGCGCCGGGGCGGGGGGCCGGGACTTTGTGACGTCACAGCGCGCCGCGAGGGCGGACATTGTGACGTCACCGGGGCGGTTCCGGTACCGGTGATGGCGGCGGGGACGGAGCTGTGCCCGCACTGCGGGCGGCCCTTCAAGCGGCTCCGCGCGCACCTCCCGCACTGCAAGGCCGCGCCGGCAGCACCGGCAGCACCGGCAGCGAGCCCCGGGCCGGGCCCCGGCAGCGCCGCGCGGCCCGTCCCGAGCAGCGCCCGAGGCTTAGGGGCCCGCCCGAGCCCCGCCAGCGCACCGGGATCGGCGCCGGGATCCAACCCCCAGCCCTCCGCCGCCACCGGCAGCGCCCCGGAGCCGAGCCCAGCGCCGCTTCCCCGGCCGGCCCCCGGTACCGGCCCTGCCGCCTCCGGTAGCGGCCCCGGCGCGGTGCAGGACGTGGCCCGGAGCCTGGACCTGCACCCCGAGGAGGTGGAGGATGTGCCCCAGAGGCTGCGGGAGGGGGTGAAGGTGGTGATAGAGAAGCACCGAGCCAGGGTGGTCCGGGAGAAGGAGCCGCGGAGCCGCGGGGAACGGACGGAGCCCGGCCCCGCTCTCCGCAAATCTGCCCCAAAATCCCGGAGCAAGGAGCCGCCGAGCCAGGGAGCCGCGGGGAGCGGGACTGCGAGCTCCAAGGGAGGAAAAAGCAGCTTAAAGGCGACAAAGACACTTCGAGAGCCCGCGGAGAGCAGCAACAGCCCCGGTGACCTCGTCCAGAAGAAGGGAAGAGACAAATCCCGGGCAGGAGGGGAGCGGGTGCAGATGGAAGCTGGGCTGGGATCTGAACCCCCCGTGTGTGCTCTGCACCCCCGGAGCCTCCAGCTGGCACCGGCGGAGCCCATCGGAGCTCACGGCCGGGGGACAGCCAGGAACGAGCTCAGCCTGCCGGGGCTGCGGGGGGAGGCAGAGCCCGAGGCCACCGTGAGCACAGCCCCGGGGCTGGCACTGCGAACCCAGCCCGGCCCGAGCCCGGGCAGAACCCCGGGGCTGGCACTGCAAACCCAGCCCGGCCCGAGCCCGGGCACAGCCCCGGGGCTGGCACTGCAAACCCAGCCCGGCCCGAGCCCGGGCACAGCCCCGGGGCTGGCACTGCGAACCCAGCCCGGCCCGAGCCCAGGCACAGCCCCGGGGCTGGCACTGCCCCTCACACCCCAAACTCAACCTGTCCTGAGCCCGGGCACAGCCCCGGGGCTGGCACTGCCCCAAACCCAGCCCAGCCCGGGGCTGGCTCTGCCCCACACGCCCCAATCCCAGCCCAGCCCGGGGCTGGCTCTGCCCCACACGCCCCAATCCCAGCCCCTCTGCTCAGCCAAGGGCTTGGAGTGGTTTCCAGAATTGTATCCCGAGTCGGGAGGGCTGAGGATTTTTCCAGGGAAGCGTTTCCACGAGGATGTGAGGATCACGGTGGAGACACCCAGGGGTGGCTTGGCACAGGGGCAGCAAGGTAACCAAAATCTCCCTGCTGGGATGTGCTGGAATGGCAGAGGGAATGGGAGAGGAGGGGCAGGGAGTGGGAAAGGAGGGGTAGGGAGTGGGAGAGGAGGGGCAGGGAATGCTGGGCTTGCCCAGGGAAGGATCCAGGAGAATCCAAGGAGCTTTAACTGGGCCTCCTCCAGCCTGCAAAGCCAATGGGTGATGTGTTCATGGCGTCTTGGATGGACAGAGCCCAATCTCTGTGGGAGAGGTGATTCCCTCTCCTTTTCCCAGCCCAGATTGCACCTCCCATCCCATCCCATCCCATCCCAGCTGCCCTGGCAGCACAGAGCCCTCACGGCTGTGTCACCCTGCAGGTCCCCTGTCCGAGAGGCCCCTGATGGAGGTGAGGCTGGGCGAGCTGCACACCTGGGCCAGCACCTGCAGCTTCTCTGCCCAGGGGCTGCTGGCAGCAGTGCAGAGAGGTGAGAATTCCTGGTTTTTGGGAAGATCCATCCCACTTCCCTGACTGACTCTGCTGGGCTAAGGAGCCAGCCTGGATCTTTACAAAGCACAAATCATGGAGTGATGGAAGGGTCTGGGAGGGACCACAGAGATGATCCAGAGCCATTCCCTGCCTTCCACTGTCCCAGGCAGCTCCAAACCCCATCCAGCCTGGCCTTGGGCACTGCCAGGGATCCAGGGGCAGCCACAGCTGCTCTGGGCACCTGTGCCAGGGCCTCACCCCCCTCACAAAAGGAACAATTCCTTCCCATCCATCATCCCATCAATCCCTGCCCTCTGGCAGTGGAAATCAACAAACACCCCCAACATCTTGGCTCTGTAAAGTTGCAGGGAAGCAGTGAATTCCCAAGAGCAGCCCATGATTTATCCCTCTCCTTTCTCTCCCAACAGCCTGGGGCAGTTATTGTGCCAAGTACATCCACGTGAAGCAGGGGGGACCTGCTGGAATCTCCATGCTCCTGGCTGGGTACTGCCTGCTCAGCTATGGCTGGAACTATCAGCACTTCAGTAAGGCCTCCTATCTCTGGAATTCTTCCTTTTGCAACACTTGGAAAGTCTGTTTAGCATCCCTGCTAGTTAAAGCTCTGGAATAATTGAAATAATTATTTAAACACTCCCCATTTAATACCAGAGCTCAGAGAGCAGCATTCTCTAGGTGGGCAGAGGAATTAATTTGCTTAATAAAAGTGCTGATAGCAGTTGCTGACTCACAGCTTCTCCCTGGAGAGCACCAGGATTGTCAGGAGCACTTGGAAAAGCCCACACGGGGCAGAGGGAGGAGAAGCTCCAGCAGGAGCTGCATTTCCTGACAGATGACAAGGGGTTTGCTGGTGTTTGGGTGGCTCCCCCTGGCAGCACAGAAACAGAGAAGCTGCGTTTGGGCTGGAGTCCTCAAACAGATCCCTGAGCTGACCCTGGAATTCTTTCCTCCCTGTTCTTCCAGAGCGGCACCGCTGGCGAAAATACCACTGAAGGAGCTGGAGCAGCAGGCAGGGAACAGCCCCAGCTCCTGGAGAGGCAGCAGAGCTGCCAGGAGCAGGATCCCAGCAGGAATTCCCAGCAGCAGGGGCCTGGCTGGGGCTGGAGCAGAGGAGGAGCTGCTTTGCAGGTCGGCTTGTGTGGCACAGAGGTGACAGGGACAGCCTGTGCTCACCCCTCCGTGCTCAGGCAGCTTTAGTAGGGAAATGAGAAAGCTGTGGAGGCACCTGAGAGATCTATGGGGGCAGGAGGGCTCCTGGAGGCTGCAGAGTCCCAGATCCCTTGCTTGGCACAGGGGACAGCACCTTGTCCTGAGCTGTCATTAGAGATTATTTGACAATTCTGCTGTAGCTGAGTGCACTCCAACCCCCAGAACCGTTCCCTTTAAATTCAGAGCTGTGCCTGGCCCAGCCCAGTTTGTACTCACCCAGTTTGTGCTGGTGGGACTGGCCAGGACCTGTGTGAAGGCACTGGAGCAGCAGCTCAGACCACAACACCCCAGTTCTGGGGAAGAAAACTCCATGGGATGAGCTGTTGTGCCCAAAGGGCAAACCAGGGCAGTCAGGAGTGCTAGTTGGAGCCTGCCATTCCCAGACATGTCTGGGAAAGGGTTGCTCATGTTCCAGGCATGAAGAGCAAAAAAAGAAAGAGGCAAGAATTAAAAGTCTGAGCTCTTTATTCTGCAGAGTGCAGTGACAGAGGTGCTGCACCAAAAACTCTCTCACCAGCAATAAAAACCTGTGTGGATTTTCCTTTCCTGCTTGGGTTGTGGTCTCAAACGTGGTGCTTTGTGCCCCCTTCCCAAGGGATGAGCACATCCCCACACCTCCCTGTGCTCAGGATCCTGGCCCCAGCCAGTCCTGCACCCCTTCACTCCTTGGCAATGCTGCTGCTGCCCTGCCTGCCCTCAGCCAGCTGTGCCAGGCCCTGATTTCCATTGCATGCAGTGATTTCTGTGCCAGCTGTGAGCCGGTGCTGGGCAAACCCTGCTGGCTGTCCTTGCCCAGCAGCTGCCCTGGTGCCGTGTCCATGGTGTGTGTCCTTCTCCTCTTCCTCTCCTGAGCTCTGTGGAGCACTGGAGTCACTTCCCCAGCCGCATTCCCAGCTGAGTCCTCCTGCTCTGGCTGGCACAGGGAGTGGCTGATCCTCTCTGGGGGCACAGGGAAGGGGTTTGTGCTGGATCAGCCCCTGCCACCTTCCCACACAATCATTTTCAAAGGAATGGGATCATGGAAACAGCACCCCAAGAGTTCCAAGTACACCAAACCTCTGAGCCACAGGGATTTGTTGTTCCCAGGGTTCTTACCTCTGAAATCCCTTCCCCTGCTGGTTCCCACCCCAGCTCCAAATGCCACAAGGAAAAGACACATTTCCAGTCACAGAGGCTGTTTGGGAGTGCTCTGAGAATCCCCACAGCACCTGCTGCCCCTCATCCTCCCCCCAAGGTGAAACCACTGCTCCCAGCCCTCCCATTCCCCAAAATCTCTCACCTTGGAGCAGGTGCCTCCTTCCAGCAGGCTCTGAGGGCTCGGGGGGCAGCCACTGGTGTCCCACAGGTGCTGGGTGCCACCTGCAGCTGCCTCCTTGGCTGGCACGTGCTCACCTCCCCTGTGCTCTGCAGCAGCCAGATCCCTCTGTACCAGCCCCCACGGGCATCCAGCTCCCTGGGGGAAAGGGGATGGGGGGCACTTGGCATCTGCTGCCCCACAGGAGCTGGGGGGCAGCTGGGGCATCACCCCCGTGGGCACAGGGACAGCAGCTTCACCTTGGATGGGTCTGTGCTGCTCGTCATCAGCCCGGCCTTGAGGCTGGAGGGGACACAGAGGACAGGCAGTTACTGCTTGGGGTGTCCCCAATCCCTCCTGAGGCTCCCACAGCCCTTCAGGAATGTCCTGGAACTGCTATGGGTACATCCATGAGGACCAGGGCTGTCCCCAGACACTCCTGAGGCTCCCACAGCCCCTCAGGAATGTCCTGGAGCTGCTACGGGCACATCCATGGGTACCAGGGCTGGTCCCAGCCACTCCTGGAGCTCCCCCAGCCTCTCAGGAATGTCCCCAGACCCCTCTGAGGCTCTCACAGCCCCTCAGAGGCATCCACAGACCCCCCCGAGGCTCCCCCAGCCCCTCAGGGCTGTTCCCCCTGCCCACCCACCTCTGCCCCTGCTGTCAGCACAGCTCAGGTGTGGGGTTTGGTTACTTCAGACCCTTTGTGTCCTTGTCCCTGACCCTGCAATGGCCACAGCCACCTCAGAGAGGGGATTCTACCCTTCCCAACCCACATTCCAAGCCCCCCCAGTACGTACTGCACGAATTTGCACTTGGGTCCCTCGGGGCAGAAGCCCACCAGGTAGTTGGCACACATCACCCTCCTCGTGTGCTTGTACTTGCACAGGGGACCTGCCAGGCAGAGGGGACACTCACAGGGACACGAGATTGTGAGAGCTCTGCTTTCCCTGCAGCCCCGAGCCCAAATCCACCCTCCCTGGGTCGTGGGCACCCCCTGCCCCATCCCAGCCCTGTAGCCGTGATATTTTCTAAACAATCCTTTCCTTAGGATTTTTTTCTCCTGAGAAGCTGAGAGACTTCAGGAACAAAATGTAACCAATGGTTATCTGCTGCTGTGGAATGCAACAGGTGCATCTGGGATTGGGCTCATGTGGTTGTTTCTAATTAATGGCCAATCACAGTCAGCTGGCTCGGACTCTCTGTCCGACACACAAGCCTTTGTTATGCATTCCTTCTTTTTCTATTCTTAGCCAGCCTTCTGATGAAATCCTTTCTTCTATTCCTTTAGTACAGTTTTAATATAATATAAATCATAAAATAATAAATCAGCCTTCTGAAATATGGAGTCAGATCCTCGTCTGTTTCCTCATCCTCACACCCCTGTGAACACCCCCACACCGTCCCGTCCCCTCTGGGCACCGCTGCCCACCCAGCCCTGCCCTGGCCCAGCTCACCGTGCCAGCAGAAGCCCCGGTCGTACCAGGGACAGCCGCCGGTGCTGGCACCCCCGTGCAGGAAGGGACAGTCCTTGCTGCTGCACTCCCCTGCGGGAACAAGGCGTGCGACAGTCGCGACAATGCAGAGGGAATGAATCCCGCCAGGAGGGGCTGGATCAGAGGAATTGGGGTGCCCCGGAACAGCCCGGCTCGGCTGGGGTGGGGGGACAGTGACCCTGGCTGGGTGACAGTGACCCTGGCTGGGTGACAGTGACCCTGGCCGGGTGACAGTGGCACTTCTTCCCGCAGGCAGGAGGTGGCATCAGCCGCTCGCTCCAGGCCAGCCCCGAGGGGCGAGCGAGGGCTGGGAAGGGGCTCCCCGGGACGCCCAGCCCCGCACCTACCGAACCTGGAGTAGAAATAGCACTCGGGCACCCTGGTGGCATCGTAGTCGTGCAGGAAGTCGCAGCCGTCGCCCCTCTTGCAGAGCCCTCGCAGCCAATGCTTGCACACGGCGGGCTTGGCCCTGCCGGGCCGGGGGTGGCCCTGGGCACCTGGGACAGCTCTGTCACTGCCAGCCCGTCCCATTGTCCCAGCCCTGCCTCGCCCACAGCCCCAGGGGTGTCCCTGCTCACCTGGCACAGCCCTGGCACTGCCAGCCTGTCCCCAGTGTCCTTGCTCACCTGGCATAGCCCTGGCACTGCCAGCCTGTCCCCAGTGTCCCTGCTCACCTGGCACTGCCAGCCTGTCCCCAGTGTCCCTGCTCACCTGGCACTGCCAGCCTCTCCCACTGCCCCAGCCCCAGAGTGGGGAGGGCTTCACCTGCAACCCCCCAGTGCTGTCCCCACGGGGACATTGGGGTCCCTGGCAGCTCCCCAAGAGCTTTGCCAGCTGCACCCCTGAGGGAGCAATGCCCAGAGCCAGGACAAAACCCACCCAGGTGTTGTGGGAGGGCAGCAAGAGGAGAACCCCAAAAGCTCCCGCAGCACCAGCACCCTCCAAAAACGCCCCAGGCCTGTCCCCAACTTACTGTCCACCCCTGGGAAGGGCAGGGGCTGAGCTCTGAGCTCCTCCACATCAGCCTCTGAGTCAAACCTGATCTTCTCCACGCCAGCCACCAGCTCCTGCATCATCCCTGCTGCGGGAGAGCCCAGCAGGGGAAGGGGAAGAGGCAAGGGAAGAAGCAGGGGCACTCTCCAGGGAAAACACAGCTCTCCAAAGGGAGCAGCACGCTCTGGAGGTCCCTGCAGCCACCCCGGGCCCCAGAAAAACCTTCCTCTTCCTCCTCCTCCCCAGGCAGAGCAGAACCAGCCCCAGCAGCCCTGGAGTGCTGCATTTAGAGGGGGGAGTTGCCCACATCTGATCCCAATTTGCAGCCCTGATCGCCTGATCCCTCAGCTGGGGAGCTCAGCCCCTCTCAGCCTCCCACATCTGCTTCTCCTCCAGCAAAGGGGCTGGGGCTGCCTGGGAGCTGGGTTAACCCCTCACTTCGAGGCCTTACATGGAGACAAACTTGGCCAGAGTGCTGGGACTGAGCATTCCAACAGCACGGGGTGGGTGCTGGGAGTGCTTTGGTGTGCTCTGGGCACAGCAGCACCAGCCCCAGCCCTGCTCTCCAGTGCTTGGCAAGACAGACCCACGCCCCTGGGCTCCTGGAAGGGGTCACACCTTGCATCCCAACAAATCATGGAATGCTTTCTTGTGGAATGCTCCTCAGATCCCTCCTTGTTCCATCCTCAGGCAGGGACGCTTCCACTGGGCTGCCCAGCAGCCCCTTCCATCCCCGAGTGCACTCCAACCCCAAGAACCGTTCCCTCTAAATTCAGAGCTGTGCCTGGCCCAGCCCAGTTTGTCCTCACCCAGTTTGTGCTGGTGGGACTGGCCAGGACCTGTGTGAAGGCACTGGAGCAGCAGCTCAGACCACAACACCCCAGTTCTGGGGAAGAAAACTCCATGGGATGAGCTGTTGTGCCCAAAGGGCAAAAACCTTTTGCCATGAAAGCTATGGGGCTTTCACAGTGCCAGGCTCCAGTGGCACATTCTGGGCATGACCAGGGCTCTGTGGGTTTGCTGGAGCCCACCTGGGGCAGGATTTATCGCTGGGTTTATCCCAAAGCTCCATCCCTGCTCAGCGCCCGGGGCTGCCACGGCCCATGGAGCCCTGCTCCCATTCTGTCACTTGCCATCAGAGCACTGGACCAGCAGTGTCACAGCACTGCCTGTGGGTGCTGCAGGGTGCTGGGCACCCACTGCCCAGCCTGCAGCCGTGTGGGACACCCTGGGTGCCACCGATGTCACTGTGCCCACCCCAGGGGTGTGACGGTGTTCACAGGGGTGCGAGGATGAGGGAAGGGATGAGGGTCTGACTCCATGGTTCAGAAGGCTGATTTATTATTTTATTATATATATTATATTAAAACTATACTAAAAGAATAGAAGAAAGGATTCCATCATAAGGCTGGCTAAGAATAGAATAGCAAAGAATGATAACAAAGGTTTGTGGCTCAGGGCTCTGTCCGAGCCAGCTGGGCTGTGATTGGCCATTAATTAGAAACAACCACATGAGCCCAATCCCAGATGCACCTGTTGCATCCCACAGCAGCAGATAACCATTGGTTACATTTTGTTCCTGAGGCCTCTCAGCTTCTCAGGAGGAAAAATCCTAAGGAAAGGATTTTCCATAAAAGATGTCTGCGACACGGGGGTGTGACAGATGTCACCGTGCCCATCCCAGGGATGTGACAAATGTCACTGTGCTCACCCCCGGGGCTTTGGGGAGGCTGGGGGTGCAGCCTGGCTCTCTGGCGGTGCTGGTGTCACTCCCCAGCAGCCCAGCACACGTGGCGCTGTCGCTGTCCCCGTGTCCCGGCCGTGCTCATGCTCAGCAGCCCCGCTCGCACTTTCTGCCCCATCAGCTCGAGGCACCGCGGCGCTGCCGAGCCCCAGCCTGGAGCCGACAGGCGTCACAAAGATCAGGGCGGCCGAGTGACAGTGGCAGGCGGCCCGTGAAGTGTCACCGCAGGGCTGCTCCCCGCCCCACAGCCCCGGGGAGCACGGCCAAGCCCAGGGACCAAACCTCGCTGCTTTGTGCCAGAGCATCCCTAAGGGACAGGAGGAGGCACTGGTGACCCCCCAGGTGACAGTGACCAGGGTCATTGGCTGAGGAGATGGGACGTGGGACCCTGGCACAGTGACCAGGGCAGAGGCAGCCTGCTGAGCTCAGAGCCTCCAGCTGCAGCTGCTGTTGTTCTCCCTGTCCCGGACAATGGCCCAATGTCCCCTGGCCGGGGTGACAGGACAGGACCCCATTGTGTCCCCACGGCGTTTGCCCGCTCCCCTGGCTTCTCCAGGGAGATGCATTTGGGCAGGCAGGGGCATCCAGCCCCTCCCAGGCCTGGGAGATGTTTGGGGGATAAATCATTCCCTCTGTCCAGTGAGGAGGATGCTGCTCAGGGAAAGGCTGTGGGGCCATTCCTGGCACTTTGCCCCCTCCCAAGGGGCTGGAGGGGGAGGTCACCCCCAGCACTGGCAGAGCCCCATTTCCCCAGTGGCTGAGCTGTGGCATCAGAGCGACTCCTGCTCGCTCTGCTGGGATCATCCAGGGCCAGGAACCCCCAGGGCACCCCTTGGCCCCCAGCCCGTGGGAGCAGGGACAGCCAGTCCTGCCCCCCAGCCCCATCCCCTCCTCCCCGGCTGGAGGGAGCAGGGCTGGGCGAGGAGAGGGCAGCGTTGGCAGAGCCAGCCCTTGGCAGGAGCTGCCTGGCCCGAGGGTCCCAGCCCCGAGCCAGATCCGGCCAGCAGGGGCTCTGCTGCTTCCTCGGGACACGGGCAGAGAAAGCTGGGCCCCGGCAGGTGCCCACACTGCAGCCAGGGACGGGCAGAGGGGTGGGGGCAGCACAGGGACACGGGTCCTGCTTGGGCAGCGGGTCCCCCCCGCGTGTCACCCCTCAGGAACTCAGGCCACTGCAGTCACTACCATTTCCTTTTATTCCTTGCATTTGTACATACACGGTATAAAAGCTCCTGTTCCAGCCGCCTGCTCCCGCCACTGCCTGGCCCCACCAGGATTCTGGTGGCTGCCAGGAGCTCCTCCCACAGGGGGACAGACCCACTCTTCCATCAGCGTCCCTGCAGCTGGCTGGGAGCATCCCTGTGACCCCCAGGCTGGTTGGAGAGTCAAGCATTTGGGATGGAATCATCCATCCATCCATCCATCCGAGGGATGGGGAGCGAGCACCTGCCACGGCACTGGGAGACTCTTGGTCTGCAGAAAAAAGCTTTTCTGTCCCCAAAAAACCCAGGAAGATGGAGCTGCCCATAGTCCCAGGCCACCTCCTTGCTCCAGAGCCAAGTTCTTCCTCATGGGAAATCTTCCCTCAGTTAAAACCAAAAGAAAGTAGAGAAAGGTAAGTACAAATCAGAAAACAGTAAAAACTGTACGGTGGAAAATATATATATATTACTAAAAGGGCTAAAACTCCAAAGGCTCGTCTCGTTGGATCCTAAATCACTTTACACGGGCAGGGGGGGCAGGAGAAAGGAGCTAATATCCAAAGTCCAACAGAAAGAACCAAAATCGAGTCTGCTTCCCCCTCCCAGGAAGTGCTGGAGCTGCCTGGGGCTGTCAGGAACGCCCCGGCCCCGGGAGCAGAGCTCTGTCCTGCTGCAGCACACGGAGGGAACGAGGCAGGAGCCGAGTCCTCCCCAGTGCCACCTCTTGGGGTGTCCAGCCCTGTGTCCAAGCAAGCTCAGCGAGAACCAGACCCTGGGCTCGGCCCTGCTTTATACCCGGATCTCGTCGTCATCCTCGTCGGCAAACGAGAACTCCTTGTCGGGGCGTTTCAGGGCCCCTCCCCGCTGGCTCGGTGGCCTGGGGACAGGGCTGCGCTCCGAGGGGCAGCTGGACACCGGGCTGCTGTCCCTGGGGCTGCGGCCACCGGCGCCACGGGCCGGGCTCTGGCTCGGCGGGGCCGCCAGCGGGGAGCCAGGCGGGGCAGGCTCCCCTTCCTCCTCCTCCTCCTCCTCCTCGCGGCTCTCCTCCGCCTCGGCATCTTCGTCCTGCTCCCACTGATCCTTATCCATGATGCTCAGCACGTCCCCGAGCATGGAGGGCCCCAGGTCGATGTGGAAGGACATGATGGACTCGGCGTGCTTCAAGCCCGCGCTGCCCTTGGCCAGCCCCACGGGCAGGTCCGTGATGTCCCCGAAGTCGCGCTCGTCCAGGCCGGGGCTCAGCGGCCCCGCGGCCGCCCCGTTGGGGCGCTGCTGCTCCTCGGGGCTCCCCTCCTTGGGCGGCTTCTTCACGGGGCTGGACGAGAGGCTCTTGGGCAGCTGCCCCGCGCTCCTGTCCACGTCCTTCTCGTTGAGCTGGGGCAGGGACACGGCGTTCTTGACGAAGAGCGCCGAGTCGCGCAGCGAGCCCAGCATGTCCCGCCGGTCCCCACGCGTCACCGACTGCGAGCGCTTGCTGCTGCGGAAGCGCCGCGACAGCAGGCCGGGCTTGGAGGCTCCAGGCTCCTCTCCCGCCTCCGGCACCGGCTCCCCGGCCTTGCTGGTGAGGAAGGAGGTGTCCCCGAAGGCGTCCCCGG